TCACTAGTGTGCATTGGACAGAACGACGAATAAATATGAGCTCCAACACAAACAAATGTGTTTGATCTCTGGGTGGAGGCCCCACTCGAACATTCTAGCCTTTCCTACTTCATTCACAATGTCCAGGAGAATATTGGCCCAACTCTAGAAACTTGCGAGCATATTCTGATACAGTCATGTTCCCCTGGACCAACTGTACAAACTCCACTAATGGAGCATTAAATTTAGCAAATTCATTTATCAATCATAAAATCATTTCTCGTTCACTTATCATCGTGGAATTTATGAAAACAACCTGTAAGAACAATAGTATCATACAGACCAATATCTCATGCATAATTAGCCATCATAGTACATGTTATAAATCCATATCCATTACCAATAAACCCAACAATAACTACCACTCTTTTTACCAATCTGCTGGTATCCATGGGGGTTCATAGGGATGCCCCCGCTACACGTCAACCCTTTTATTTATTATTCTCAATTATGTGTCATCCTCATACCTTGTCCGGTATGAACGCCAATTTGCCAAACCTCTATACCCCGTCCAGTATGAGAGTGAAGCGAGTCGTCCTCATACTCCATTCGGTATAAGCACAAAATTATTAAGTCTCCATATCCCGTTCGGTATGAGACAACATTCACGGTAAGGTTCCTTATGTACCCGGTCCGTACACCATCTCCCCAGATATCCAGTAAGACTGTCATTTCATCTAATCATTTAATCACATAATTTTTTTACCGTTTAAACTTCATCTTTTTTTATTCGGCAGTAAACACGTAAAATAAACCATACATGTGTTTAAACTATAAAATAAATAAATAAGATAGCATCATGTAGGTAAACTGAAAAAAAAAAATCAACAACAACAGTATATAATTTCTAGTTCCGGCTCCATTAGCAACTCGTAATTAATTATGCATGTTTACTAAAATCGCACAAAATACCACGTTATTATTTATTTAAACTTCAGTTTTATGATAGAGAATAAGGTGAGGGATCCTTATTCGATTTGACATTCGAAAAGTTAAACTGTTTACTCCACCTACGGGCAGTCCCTAGGTTCCCTGAATTTTTTTTCAAGAACTGAAATGCACTAATAGTACCTACAAATATTTCAAATAAACCCAAAATCAGTCCTAGAGCCCACTCGGACTCTCTAATTTTGGCCAAATTCGGCCGATTTTGCATCGATCCCTGCGAGCAAACACATTGAAAGGGTCTTGATTGGCTGAAAAATTACAAAAAATCAAAACTCACCGGCGGTGGGGCTCTTCGGTGCTGCGGCTCACGTTGCGGTTGAGTGTTTTACTTCGGTCAACCTGTAGAAAAGAAAACAGTGATCACAACGGTGGAAAAATTATACGAAATGGGAATCGGGAAGGGGCCCATTGGATGCATTTTGTGAAATTTCCCACGGCGGCGCTGTCAGGCTTCGCCAATATTTTTCGGCCAATTGGCCAGTCTTTTTGCTCCGATTTGGTCATGAGTGAGCTTAATATTGAATTTCGTACAAAAGAAAAAGTTTTTACCTTTTTTGGCAGTCGGAAAGGGTTCCGATGCGGCAACGGGTTGCGGCAGTCGGCTCTCCGGTGGTCGGCTCGCCGGCGGTTGGGTCGTCTTCTCTGGAGAGAAGTTATGGCGACTAGGGTTAAGGTTTGGTGCGGATAGGAGTTATTTGTATCCGTCCGCTTTTGATCTGGACCGTCCATCGCGTTTGATCTGAACCGTCCGATCGCGATAAAATTGGGAGTGAATCTGGACCATTCATTGTGATCCAATC